CACTAAGTGAGAGGTATAACCTGGTGACTGCACCGCCGGCGGTTTTACGCTTGAGTATGGAACGGGAGGGTTGACGTCGATCGGATGCTTGGGCTTTTTCTTCTTTCCAAATAAATGGTGTGCCATGCTTCGATATGCAAGGGAAGAATTATAGGAGTGACTAGAGATTAGTGAGTGATTGACTTATTGCAAAGCTACCACCATTGAAGTTTGAAAGTATTAGTATTGTCTCTGTTTGGACCAAGTTTTCTACTTTGTTTAATCACGTGTCTATATTTTCTTAATATTAACGTTCATCAACAATCGGTTCTTGGTTTCACCGAGACGGTGTAAAAGCCCACTACAACATACTTTTCACATAGTTTCCTCCCCCTCGCAATTTGAAGAGAAAATGGCAAGCAGTGCCGCTGGCTCAGAGTTATTCGAATCGTACGAGCAAGACTTCAAACTCCTCTACAACTCTATCAGTCAGAAAATCAATAATGTCATTCCAAGTCAATCTGGAGGTGCGTATATTGCATGCTTGTATAGTATGTAACGAACTCGTCTGAAAACATTGCTGTAATTACAAGTTGTTATGTCTGTTATACTGCAGAAGAGAGAAAAGTTACACTTCGGGCTATTGACCGTGAGATCGATGAGGCGACCGAAATCGTATGTTTGTCTATTAATACCGTTAATATTGTAAATTATGAACATAAGTTAAAAAAAAATTTTTTTAATAGTTTTCACAAATGGATATTGAGATTATAAACATGCCATCGGCTTCTCGCTCACAACTACAAGCCAGATTGAAAGCCCATAAGAGTGACTTGGAAAACTTAAAACGAGATGTGGTAAGATATATTGAGATCGATTGAGATATTCACGCATTAAATTCAACCGACACCGTACAGATTAAAGGGATTCGATTTTTACGAAATGTATTCTACGTTATCGTTAGAAAGTGGTCGCATCTCGAGCTCCAGGTCCAACAGATCGTGAACAGTTACTATCTGCACGTAATGGTACTGATCTTGATAGCGCTGCTGTAGATCAGCGCGCGCGTCTATTAATGGGAACTGAACGTCTTGCTGAAAGTAGTCTTCGATTACAAGAGAGTCATCGGATTGCTTTAGAAACTGGTGGGTTTGTTTGTTTAGAAGAGACTCGTTAATTTCAAAGGTTGATGGTGCCTAACTCGGCCTTCATTCGTTTATAGAGACTGTAGGGGCAAGCGTATTGGACGATCTTCGTAGACAGCGGGAACAGATTCTACACACGCGAAACACTGTACGTTACTTGTTTTTACTAATTATTTGCTTTTTGTTCATGCTCATCATATATAACTTGTGTAATATTCGTTTTACCAGCTGACCGAAGCAGATTCTTATATCGACAAGGCTTCGCGTACTCTGAGGACTATGACAAGACGGTAGTGTACTGAAGAGCAAGCTATAATATTAGCACGTTCAAACTCCAAATTCTCACTTATTCTTTATCGTTCCAATACAGAATGGCAACGAGTCGTATCATTACAGTTTTAATCATCATACTCCTTGTCGCTTTGATTCTATTTGTTGTCTATGCCAAGCTTTTCCTCTAAGCTTGGACTTGGCAGTTATCTCTGGGATCTAATTATGTAAAGTAGTAACCTGGGTGTATTCAATATTGCTCCTGAAAATGATATCAGACAACTCAACATTAGTTTACTTGTATTTTTCT